CCCCCACCCCCCTCTTCCCCCTCCTCTCCTCCCCCTTTTTAAATTTACATTATTATTAAAAGACATGACGATCTTAATAATAATAATAATAATAATAATAATAATGCCACATTCAATGAAAGGAAATTTAAAGAAGATTATGAAGAACCTAAAAGAAGAAGAAACCATCCAGGAAATCGCACTATGTGGGACGGCCCACATTCTTCGGAAAATATTATAAGTAGCACCACCGAAATTCGAGTATTTGTCCCTAAGGAATCGTCGGGTAGAAACCTGGGATAAATACTTAAAAACCCTGACAAATAAGAGCCTTGTCGTGTTTAATAGTGGACATAATAATAATAATAATAATAATAATAATATTTTGATTTTTTGTTTTTAAAAAAAAATCAATTTAAAAGTTCCAAAAAAAAAATTATTATTTACATTAAAGCTCAGATTTTTATTTATTTATTATTTATTTATTGTAAAATTTTATTAAAATTTGTAATATGTTATTCATAAAAATATTAATAATAATAATAATAATAATAATAATTTTTAAATAATATTTTATTCAGTTCGTAAAAAGAATTTGTTGCCTATTTTTTTTTTTTTATTTAAATCACACCCACAACTTTTTTCTTATCATCATTCATTATAGTTAATTTTTCTACATAATTTTTAAATTTATCAAGAAAACAAGAAATAAAATTTTGATCCATTTGAAGTTTAATCCTCATCTTTTAATAAAAAATTTATTTACATAAAGATATATATATATATTATATTAAGTAAATTATATATATAAATATATAAAAAAAAATTGAAATTTTTTTTCCACGATAAACTTTGCAATTTTTTTTTCGTTTTACCTTCAGACTAATGTACGCGTAAGTCGAGTTATGTTAAAATAAATAAATAAATTAATATAAAAAAGAAAACTTATAAAAAATTATTTGAAACTTGTTTTGTTTATGTTACGACTCGATTTAATTTTGTACTTTTTTTTTTTTTTTTTTTTTAAATCAATTGCTGTAGGCGATTAGAAAAAAAAAAAAAAAAAAAAACGATAATTGATTGGTTATAATCGACTCAGTTATAAATTAACTTTAAATTTTTTTTTTTTTTTTTTTTTTTTCGTAAAAAAGGTTTGAGCTGCTCTGTTTGTTCAACGCTCGACTAAATAATTTAGTTTTTCAAAAATAGGAAAACTTATTTTCCTTTACGGAGATGTTGAAAAATTATAATTTCCTTTGATTCGATTTGAAATAATAATAATAATTAATGCGCCCGCAAAAAATAATAAAAACTTCAAGTTGAAAACAAAGAGACTCTATTTCTATCTCTCTCTCACACTTTTTCCTTTTACTATATATTTCTCCTTTGATTATTGTTTCTTCTTGCGCATTAAAAAAAAATCCATCCTTAAAAGAGACCTTAGGGGGGGGGTGCGTGTGTGTGTTTTCCATTTTTCGAAGAAATAAAAATCTTCAGTCTTGCCCGCAAGACTTGCGTTACTTTCCTTTTCCTTTCTCTTTCCTTTCCTTTTTTTTTTTTCCTTTTATTACGAAAAAAAAAAAAGAAAAACTAATCAAGGACCTGTACTCGTTTATACAAAACGTAATGTTGAAACATAAAAAACAAATCGAAAAGCACTGAAAAGAAAAAAAAGAAGGAGGAAAAGAAAATTAATAATCCATCGTTTTTCCAAACCTGAATCAAACAAAAATGAAAAAAGGAAAAGTCACGTACCTGAAAACATTCCCAATCCGAATTTAGTAAAATCACCGAAAATACTTTCCCAGTCGTCGAAATTATATGAATTTATTATCATTTGCAACATTGATAAAATCCCACCGATCAAATCGAGAAAAATGTTTCCTATGCTCCATCCAACCGTTGATTTTCTCCTAAAATTCATGTACGCCTAAAAAAACAAAACAATTTTCTTTACACCGACAGCATTTTCCGGCAAACATCAACAACTTTTCCTAATTATTCATTTTAAGGTTTTTAAACGACCTTTTACCATACCTGCGGTATGTATTTAATAAAAGTAATTGACAATTTAACATATGAACAATGATAAAGAAAATCGATGGGTTGAATAACTGAAGTGCAAGCTAATACGATACTTATTCCTAAAAATCCTAGAAAAAGACCGAAAAGAATTTTCGTCGCAATGGAAACTTTTTGATTTTCTCTCTGGAAGTCAGAAACACAAATGAAACAAATGAAACACAATCGTAACATAAAAAAACAAAACCAAATTTTTATGTTTAAACATTTATCGTACCTCGTAAATAAAACATTGAACGAGGGTTGCTATAACGGCTACGAGAGCGTGGAGAGAAAAAACAATGTCGTTGATTTGTACGGGATTCACGCTGTAGGGATACCTGTCGTGAAAACTTTGTTTTATGGGTTTCACGGCGTACAAACCGATATTGAATGCAGAATAAAGAAAAAATCCCAAACAGTTTAATGCGAGAAAATCAAAATTTAATCCGACGACGCTGAAACGTGGAAAATTTATTATTATTATTATTATTTCATTTTTCTTACCAAATTATACTTTCTCTCTCTCTCACACACGCACGCACCTTTTCCTCCTCCAATTTTCATAGATTTGAGGATAAAATGAAAACGACCATGCGGCAAAATAAAGCCATCCCGTTATGTCGGATAATATTATCCAAACGGAAGATTTTCCGACAGATGCTCTCACTATGGCTTCCTCCGTATTAACATCCGGTCTCTTTGTTAAATTACCAAGGATTATAACGTGACCGGAATTTTCACCCTTTATGTGTAAAATTTTCCTATCGCCCTTAGACAGAGTCACGTTTTCGTTTAATATTTCCACAATGTTTTTTTGACTCGTGTAAAGTTGTAAAATTTCATTTTTACCCTCGCTCCTGTATTGGAAAAACAAAAAAAATTATTATCATCATCATCATTATTATTATTACCATAATGCAAAACCCTCTGCACGCACGAAACATAATAATAATAATAATAATTACGTGAACAAGACTTCGAATTGTACGATATCATCGATTTCCAAAAGAACATCTTGCGGTTTGAATATGAGATTGCACGTGACAAGACGACCCAATAACAACGTGTAAACTATTTTTCCAAACATGTTACGAAATTATTGTCTCTTTCCCTCAAATTATTTTATTCCCTCAAATCCCTAAAAAGGAAAAAATTAACAAAAAATGACGTCATAAAACAAACAAATAATAATAATAATAATATTCATCTTCGAGGGAATCCTCCCTCCCTCTCCCTCTCAATTAATCACATTCGAACAAAAAAAAAAAAATTAATAACACACAACTTTATAATTATTATTATTATTATTATTTTTTACGCACTCAAACCAATATGTATATCACTTGAATATTTATTATACAAACAACAACAACAACAACAACAACAACTTTGAGATTCTGGATACTATAATGTTACAAGTGGAAAAACTTTGATTAAATGTTTGTACGCGAATAAAAACCGGATTTTATTACATATTATTATTATTATTATTATTATTATTATTATTATTATTATTATTTAATTCACATAAAAAAAAAAAAACATCAAAAATCTCCTCGTTGCGGTTTGTTGTTGTTGTTGTTGTTGTTGTCGTCACATTAATCAATGACTCAATAATTTTCTTAATTGATTTCCGAATAAAATCTCAATATATATATTGATAGATGAATAATTTAAAACAAAAAATTCGTTACGACCGTAATTTTTTTTTTTTCTTTCTAACGAACGTGTATAATGAAAGATAATAATTGAAATTAATAAGAATAAAAAAAAAAAAAAAATCGTGACGTGATTTAAAAAAAAATTAAGTAGGGGAAAACACATGTATGAGAAACGTCTTAATCATTTCATTTATTGACGTATTTTGTTATACTCCCTATTACGTCACCACCTCCCTTCCTCCCCCTTCCCCTCCTCCTTCCCCCCAATCATCTCCTATCAATTATAAGAGAAAAAAACACTAGGGTATTAATTTAAAAATATTCTCCAGTTTTTAAATTTTAATATTCAAACGAACACCGCCATGTTTATTTAAAACGTTTATCGATACTCTAATGATAACGGAAATAAAAAAAAAAAGATGGAGTAAATCTTTCTACATTTCCGGTTTAAACGCAGCCGTTAAAAATTCATTTTTCAAAAAAAAAAAAAAAAAAAAAAAAATGGTAAAAAAAGTAAATGTGGGTTTTCCGCCATTCAGAACAAAATTATTATTATTATTATTATTATAAATAAAATTTTGTGTGACCGCAATTTTCATGTTTATTTACACACATGCGAAGGTTGTAATGTAAATTTCCCCCCTTTGGCAAGGTTTTTATAAAAATTGCAAAATTTAATTTTCATATTATTATTATTATTATTATTATTATTATCATTAATATTAATTTATTCCTTTGAAAAAAATTTTTCTTATGATAATCCTTAAGAGTTTAATATGTACAAATGATAAGAATGATTGAGAGAAAAAAAATTTAAATGTTTAAAATCAAATCGATAGGTTTTTTCCTTTCCTTTTTTTTTTTTTTTTTTCTTATCATTTGTCTTTGAATGTCACTAACATGATAATAAAATACACGCCAGGTACTAGAAGGTATAAAAATCAAGGTAAAAAAAAATTAGTTTAAAAAAAAAAAAAACTTTCATAACAAATCTCTCTCTCTCTCTCTTGCACACATTTGTAATTTTTAGTAAAAACAAGTATATTAGTTTTAAATTTTGTAATTATTATTATTATTATTATGTAAATTATCGATTTGTTGTGTAATTTATTTATTAATTTGTCTGAAATTTTTTTATTATTAACGTATTTAAAAGCACGAAAACCGCGATGACCAAAAGCCTGTTGGTAATTGGGTCAAATAATCGTTTTGATAAAGGTTTCAAAGTCAATAATAATGTAAAAAAAAAAAAAAAAAAACGCCGCCATTTTATTTTATAAAAAAACAAATAACATGCTAAAAAATCCATACACATACTCACGCACACACACACACACGTATACACACACAAATTTTCCAAGACGTTTAAAAAACAATATGAATATTATTATTTTTTTTTTCCCCCTCTAAAGCGAAATGTTCAATATTAATATTTTGAGGGGGGGAAAGAGGGGGGGGGAGTGAACAATGGAGAGTCATAAGCTAAACATAATGACAATCAATCGAATAATCAATCTGTCAATCAAAATATAAACAATAATATGACAAATACATACATACATAATAAAAATTACGTCAAATTTTTTCTTTTTTATGCTCACAGAATGAAATATCATTGTTTCGAATATTAAATTAAATTTATTGTTATGTTAATAAACTTATTAAAAAAAGAAAAAAAAGAAAAGGTTTTCCCATCTTGAAAAATTTCAAAGAATTAATTTAATTTATTTTAATATATATATGTGCATAGAAAATAAACTGCCCTGATTTTATTTACTTACTTTGATTAGTTATCACATTCAAATTAATCAATAAGTTTTAGAGAGAGAGAGAGAGAGAGAGAAAAATAGAATCGACATAATAATAATATTAAATATTATTTACCGTATGAAAATAGAGTCAGACTATTATTGAACGATTAAAAAAAAATTTTTTCTTACACGAGATTGTAATTATAACTGAATCACGGTAATGCTGCCGTTAAATTGTATGACTAACGATTGACACAATTATTATTATTATTAATAAAAAGTTCGTTAAATAATTTATTATGACAATTACCCGTCAACAAACTACTTTACAATTAAATAAATATTTATTTACACTTTGTTAATATGTTTTTTTTTTTTTTTTTTTTAATTTTACAACTGTAACTTTAATAATGTTATCTATTATTGTTTGATAAAATTAAATTAAAATAATCAAAAAATTTAACACTTGTAAAAAATGTTTTTTTTTTTTTTTTCCTACTACTGCATTACTCCTGGAAATTTATTATTATTATTATTAGGCCATTTTTTTTTTTTTTTCGATTTCTGTTAAAAATTTTTGATGTGTGATTAAAACTCGGTGAGAATGAATTGAAAAACAATAATTTTTAATAACCATGGAAAGTTATGGTTTGCTTCATTACATGGTTTACATTAAATTATACATCAAACGACAAATTTTTCATCGGTGATTGATTTTTATGGATTGTTTATGTGATTGATTCGAATAAATCAATACTTTACATTAAACATATACAATTTCCTGGTTTAAAAAATTATACATTCATAAAGCTTACATGCGAATAACATTTAGATAAAAAAATAAAAAATTAGTGACTCTCTAAAATGATTATTACTAAAAATTATTGTAATAGCAAAAGAAAAAAAACTATGAAATGTATCATGACACCCCCATATTAATAAATAAAATAAATAAATAGTAAATGACTACATGCAAATTTTTGTAACTGAATATTTCGAATTAAAATATATACTAATATTAATAATGAAAAAGTAAACGGTTTTACTTAAAATCTATATTACTAATGACAATATAAGTTGGTTAGATATAATAAGTTTAAAATGCTTACCTATAGTCTAGGTGAAGCCAAAAATTTCTGTTTTTAACTATGTCAGAAAATATTAATAACGTGATCATATTTTAAAACTATTTGGCACAATAAAACTGAATTTAAACAAAAGGATTAAATATGTTAAATGAAATAGAAAGTGAAAATAGACAGAAACTTGACGTAACCGAAACATGTTATAAGAGGATTATTATAAGAAAATTTTTAATTCTTTCGATTAGGAAATCTGTAGTCTTAAATTAAACAAAATTCGTTTTCGATAGAAAATAAAAATACTAAATACTACAACTACATGACATTAATTTATAATTAAACAGTACTAATGATTAAAACAGAAAAAAACGTTTCAAACGAACTTTTTATTGCGGTCACTTAACTATTTTATTGCACTGACATTTTATAATTTAAGGCCCAGAAAAAAAGCGCGAAGTGTTAAACTCTACAAGTGGTGTTCGCGTTTTTATAAGATAAATTAAATTACTTGCTTAAAAATGAATTCTGCTGGTTTTAAACGGGGTCCAAATAAAGTATTAGACGAAGTCGGAGTTAGATGTCAAAAAATCTTTTATCATTTTTTAAACGAGTAATTATTATATTCATTAATTTTACTTGTGTTTCAATTTTCTATAAATACTTAAAAAATTTTTTTATTAATTTCTTTACTTTTATTTTCAATGCATATTATTTAATTATTGTCCGAAATCGCTAAGAAATTCTTTAATTACATATTTTAATTTAGGTTTCGAGAAGATAATGTAGTAAAATACTTAGCTCCTGCAACAGAAATTCAAAGAAACATTGAAAGAACAACATTAGAAGTTAGCTACGAAGATGTTGAAAAATTTAACATGAATTTATCGATAACAATTATTGAAGAATATTACAGGCTTTATCCATATTTGTGCAAAGCTGTTTCAAATTTTGTTAGCAACATTGATGGGGCTGCAAAAGGAAAAGATTGTTATATTGCATTCACAGATGTGCCTACCAAACATAAAGTAAGAGAACTGACAATGGAAAAACTTGGAACATTGGTTAGAATTACTGGACAAATCGTTCGAACACATCCGGTTCATCCTGAATTAACTATCGGTAAAAATAATCTTTGGCTGTAAACAGTACTTTTTTTTAACAACAATTTTAAATTTATTTAATGTTTTTATTCAGGTTCATTTTTATGCTGTGATTGTCAAACAGACATTAAAAATGTTGAGCAGCAATTTAAATACACACAACCATCAATATGTAGAAATCCTGTATGTAACAATAGAAAAAGATTTACATTAGAAGTTGATAAATCAGATTTTGCTGATTTTCAAAAGGTTATTGTTCAGGAGACTCAATCTGAGCTTCCGAGAGGTTGTATTCCACGATCGTTAGAAGTTATTTTAAGAGAAGAAGCAGTGGAAACTGTTCAGGCTGGTGGAAGGTAATAAATACCTAAATAATTTTAAGGACTTTGAATTTAGTAATTGCTCAAAAGTTAGAAAACATATTTTTTCATTTTAGATATGATTTCACTGGAACTATGATAGTTGTGCCGGATATCAGTGCATTGCAATGTCCTGGTGCCAAAGCTGAAATTGGTGGTAGGCATAAACAAGGTGATTATGCTGTCGAAGGAGTTAGAGGACTTAAAGCTTTAGGAGTGAGAGATTTGAATTATCGAATTGCATTTTTAGCCTGCAGTGTAACATCAAGTGAATCAAAAGTAAGAATTCATTGTTATTAAAATTATTTACAATAAATATGAAATATAAATTAATATTTTAAATTTACAGTTGGGGAGTGATGAAATAGCTGGAGAAGGAGAACCCAATGGAGAGTTAATCAAAAAATATATGAACGATTCTGAATGGAGTAAAATTTATAATATGTCCAAAGATAAAAATTTGTATAAAAATCTAATTGATTCCCTTTTTCCCTCTATACACGGCAATGATGAAATTAAAAAAGGAATTCTACTCATGATGCTTGGTGGTGTAAAAAAATATACATCTGAAAAAACAAAACTTAGAGGAGACATAAATTGTTTAATTGTTGGGGATCCCAGCACCGCGAAATCTCAATTTTTAAAACAGGTAATTTTTTTTTTTCTTGGTCTAAATTTTAAAATTATAAAATTTTATTTTCTATTCGATTGAACTATTCAAGGTTGCTGACATATGTCCCAGAGCGGTATATACTAGCGGAAAAGCAAGTTCTGCTGCCGGTTTAACTGCAGCCGTCGTAAGAGATCAAGAATCTTCGGATTTCGTCATCGAAGCAGGTACTGTCTCAATAATGTAATTTTGCCTTCAGAGATATTACTTATTCATTAAATAATTTTCTGCTCAATAGGTGCCCTCATGCTAGCTGATAATGGAATTTGTTGTATTGATGAATTTGATAAAATGGATCCCAAAGACCAAGTTGCCATACACGAAGCAATGGAACAACAGACTATATCTATCACAAAAGCTGGTGTCAGAGCTACGCTAAATGCCAGAACTTCAATATTAGCGGCTGCAAATCCAATAGGTTAATTTTATAGCTTTTTCTCTTCACTGTTCTTTTCTTACAGCAATTATTAAAAAATATTTTAATTTTCAATTCAGGTGGACGTTACGACAGATCAAAATCATTGCAAAAAAATATTGCTTTGTCTGCTCCAATTTTATCAAGATTCGATTTATTCTTTATACTAGTTGACGAATGTAACGAGGTTGTCGATTACGCCATTGCGAAAAAAATTGTTAATTTACATAGTAACGAAGATGAGGAGGCCGCAAAAGCCTACACTCAAGCCGAAACGATGCGTTTTATAAATTTTGCCAAACTTTTCCAACCGTCTTTAACAGAAAGCGCTGTTGCCTTGTTAGTTAAATGTTACACGAATTTAAGGCAAAAGGATAATTACGGTAAAAAAGTAATATTTGAGATAAAATACTAATAATTATTTTCTTATTAATTAATTTTTGAAATAAAATTACAGCCTCTGGAAAAACGAGTTTTAGAGTGACCGTTCGACAATTGGAGTCAATGATTCGACTTGCGGAAGCCATGGCTAAAATGGAATGTTCTGACGAAGTCACCGAAAAGCACGTACAAGAAGCTTATAGGTATATACATATCGATTGAAAAATGATATTGTAGTATTTCGTTATTAAATGCATATATTTACAAAAAAAAAAAAATTTTTAGATTGCTCAACAAGAGTATTATTCGAGTAGAACAACCAGATATAATTTTGGACGATGATCAAGAACAAGAGGAAAATGACATTGGTGAAAATGAAAACGAACCAATGGAAACATCTAATTCTGGAGAAAATGGAACCGGTAATTTTCATCATTTTTCATTTATTTTTTATGAAAAAAAAAAGAACGTGATAAATTTATATTATTTAAAATCAAACAGATCCTCCTGTTCGACAAGTCAAAGTCACCTACGAAGAATATCATAGCATTTACTACATGATAACTCATCACATTCGAAAACTAGAAGAAGAAAGTGAAACAAAAGAAGGTAAAATATTCTGTTTTAAATTTTAGAAATCATGAGCAGTTGAAATAATTAATCATTTTCAGTTCGCTAATAATTAAATTAAACGTAACGTGTTAATTTTTTTTTTAGAAGAGTACAAAGGGATGCGTAAATCAGAAGTCGTTTCTTGGTATTTGGAACAAATTCAAGATTGTATCGAAACCGAAGAAGAATTGATTGAAAAAAAAGAAAAAGTTGAAAAGGTCATAGATCGTCTCATGTACAAGGTATTTTACTCGAATTTAATACGAAAATGATATTAATCGATTTTATAATAATAATAATAATAATAATAACGAATAAATGTTTTTTTTTTTTTTTAGGATTTTATTTTGCTACCGCTTCACGATACCGAAGAAGCAGAAGACGATGATGGCGATCCCATTTTGGTCGTTCATCCCAATTTCGTACCTCAAGCATAAAAACGGTTTTTTTTTTTTTTTTCGTATAAATTTTTTGTTTTAAACTATCGTATTTACTAACTATTTTATTATTATTATTATTAGTTTAAACGAGTGTGAACTAAAACAAAAACAAAAGAAAAAGTTTGTGAAACAAAAACAAAGACAAAAAATACGTGTTAGCGTTGTTAATAAGTTAATCGTCGAAAATATCGAAAAAAATTTGTTATAATTAAATAATGTCATCATCATCATCATCATCATCGTCAAAAGGAAAGTTGAAAAAAAAAATTAATGCAAAAGTGTTATTTCGTATATATAATTGTACTAATTGCTCCGGTATATATTTTAATGAATTTTAATAAAACGGTTCAAAGTTGACTCAGTGAATCGAGTGTATGTTAAAAAATAATAATAATAATAATAACTTAATGGAAAAATGTCAGATACCGAACGTCCAACAAGACGACAAAAAAATCTCGGAAAGGTAAAAAAAAAAAAAAAAAAATGGCGAAATCAATAATTGAAATTTAATATTTTTTCTTATAAGGGCAAAAAAAATTTTTATTTTATTTTTTTTTTTTTTTTTTTAGAAAATTCCGCAGAAATTATTAATATTCGGAGGGGATTGTCATTTGATAAATGAATATTTGGAATCGAAATCGGAAAAAACAATTTTTGCTATTTTTCATTATTTAAATTCATTATTTAGAAGTTTCGGACACGTAAGAAAATTTTTTTTGCATCGTTAATGCCACGTTAAAAAAAAAACGACGAAAGGTTTTTTTTATACTAATTCGTTTTTTGCGCAGGTGATATTTGCTAATAATCCCATAAGCGGTTTTATCATCATGTTGGCAATAGGTTGGGCCGATTACAAAGCCATGTTTGCGGGTTTGTTCACGTCTACGCTATCCTTCGCCTTCGCTAAAATTCTACAACAAGACGTTTTGGGTAACTTGAACGGATTTTTCAGTTACAATGCCGTTTTACACGCCGTCGTGTCAGTAGGTTACCTCCCGACCATATACGAATCCATTTCTCTGTACGAACCTAGATTTTGGTTTTTCTTATCTTTTGCCACGTTAATATCCGTTTATTTCACGTCGGCATTTGCAAATTTATTCCGGTATTTGTGGCATTATCCGATACCTTGTTTCACGATTCCTTTCAACGTTTTACAATACGTTTTGATTTTTTGCCTTTTAAACAATTCCGTTCCTCCTAAATTATTAAGTTCTCACTTGCTCGAACCTGGTCTCAAACCGAACGTCACGCAACTCAATAAAACGGCGAAACTCAACGAAACTCATTTTTTCCCTTTCGATCCGAACGAAGTTTCGAGAAGGAGAAGAGAAACGGAAGATGGGATAAAAAACGATGATAACTATACGAAATGGTTAAAGGACGATTCGGATTTCGCAGACCTCATACCTCCACCTCCTGGCCCCGAGGGAAATCATCGTTCGAACGATTCGCATTTGAATTGGGGAGAAACATTTTCAGGTACCATAACTGCTCTCTCGCAAGTGTACGGATTGAACAACATACCGTGTTCCATTCTCATGTATTTGGCACTCCTCGTCTATTCTCCTACGACGGCTTTATTTTGCTACCTCGGATCATTTTTGGGTACCTTGACGGGTATTTTTTTTTCACCCGATTTCGAAAAAGTTTACGCCGGATTTTGGGGATACAACGGTCTTTTATGCGGTGGCGCCCTGGCTGGTTTCGGCTTCGTATTGACTCCTCAATCCGCATTTCTCGCTTTCGTCGCAATACTTTTCTCTACCGTTTTCCAACATTTTATCACTCCGATGTTTAACGCGGTAAGTAAAAAATATATATTGTTATCGTGAGAGTGACTCACTCACTTTGTCTTTTCTATGTACAAAATGGCCATTGACCACAATTTATCTATTGATAAGAGAAAATCTATCGGGCTTTTGTAATCAGTATTTAATAATAATTATACTAAGTGAAAAATTGTTACAATGATCGATAAATGAATCAAAAAAAAAAAAAAGAAAAAAAAATTTCTTTTTGCTCGGTGTCGGAAAAATTAAACAAATTTCCCTCTCCCCTACCCCCTACCCGTTTCCCCCCCCGTTTTTTTCTATTATTATTATTAATTTGTTTAATTAATTTGTTCCAGATGGATGTACCGATATTTCACATTCCTTTTATATTTACAACGGTTATATTTTTGCTCGTCACCGGAGAATATGAGAAAACGTTGCCCAGACCGGGAATTTATTCGTATCCGGAAAAACATCGGGAGGAATTTAAAAATCAACGGGAAAATCGCTTTGACGGATATTTAAGTCGAACGGGAGTGAGTGAAAATTTTTAATTTTATACGAATTTTTTAAATTTTTTTTTTTTTTTTTTTTTTTTTTTGTTGCTCGCGTTTTATCGTTCGTCCGAGGGAAGAATTAAAAAAAATTAAAATTAGATTTATGCGGGAGTGTGGGGAGGGAAGGAGGAGGGGGAGGGAAACCCCCCGGTTGGTTTTTACGTTAATTACGCGGAATCGTTTATTAAAAAAAAAATGATTTTTTTAATTTGATTTTTATTTTAATAGTATCTTTATTAAATACGTACGTAGGGTAACCGTTAAAAAAAAAACGAATTTGTTTCTGTCTTTTTTTTTTTTCTGTCTCTTTTTTCCTATCCGAATTGAGTCGGGTTTTTCAATGTAATAAAATTTAACGATGGGGCCATCTGTCTCGGGTAAAAAAAAAAAATTTTTTTCCCTACATTTCCCCCCCTTTCCCCCCCTCTTTTCTCTCCTTTTTCTCTCTCCATTTATTTCGATTAAACAAAATGAAAAAAAAATTTCTCTTTCGTTAAAATTATTTTTTTTGCAAAAATTGATTTTTTTTTATTATTTCCTACTAATGCCTGAACGTACAAATAAACAACGAAACGAATGAATGAATGAATGAATGAATGAATGAATGAATGAATGTCGATTACGAACCGACCCCCCGTGTAAAAATTAAAAAAAAAAACATAAAACTGGTCGTTTTCGTTCATTTTTACAACAATCGCGTAATTATTATTATTATTGTTATTATTATTATTATTGTTAGTCTTATTATTATTATTATTTCAACTATTGTTATGGGTATTTTTTGTTTAAACAAAACCTATCGACTCGTCACACACAGACAGGCAAGCAAATAACATTCGACCTAAATAATTAACATTCGCTCTTCGTCCTATTTAATTTATTTTCGTTCTTTATAAAAATTTTCGAATCTTTTAATTCGATCCTCCCCAAAAAAAATTCAAATTTTCAAATTTTAAATTTATTATTAAATTGAAAAGAAGAGGATAGAAAAAGCGCGGGGGGGACGGGGGGGGGGAAAAATCAATGGGAACACAAGTCGCGCTTTTGAGTCGAATCACCTGAACTAATCAAGGGTTATATGCATATGCAAACGCCGTTTAATTTGTTTATAACCTTTTTTCCTTTTTTCCTTTTTCCTTTTCAACCGAAAAAAATGAACTCTATAATAATAATAATACTTGTTGCATTTCGAATTTTCGATTTTTTTCGTAAAACCTCGGAAAATTTTTCTAGAACGTATTTTACATGCTACAAAAAAAAAAAAATGGTTTGAACGGTTTTGCCCCCATTTTTATTTCGAATTTTCCTTTCCCCATTTTTATCAAAAATTTTCCTTTCGAAATTGAGGCATCAAGAAAAAAAAAAATAATAATAATAATAAACAAAGTAATTCGCGTGTATATTTTTCGAATCGAATTTTTCTGGAATTTTCATCGTGTTTTGGATCCGGACATTGCTTTATTAATACGTGAAACACAAGCAGCAATTTAGGTTTCATCAAAATAAAAGGCAAAAAAATAAAGGATTGAAAGGATGAACAAAATGGGGAAAAGATGAATAAGAGAGAGAGAGAGAGAGAGAGAGAACATCGATGGGGGGGAGAAAAAAAAAAAAAAGAAAAAAGATAAAAGGCCAGAAAATTCTGGATGATGGTACAACTAGCGCCTCTCTCGATCGAATCGGACAAATTTTGTACTTTTTAAATGAGAGAAAAGCTCCTGTAAGAGATTTTGACTTTTCATCTCACTTTTTTCTTTTCTTTTTTTTTTTTTTTTCCTGTTTCTCGCACACCGCGAAATTTATTTATTTATTTATTATTATTATTATTATTTTTAAAATACAATTTTCAATTTGTTTAACGAATCGAATAGTTATCGTTATTATTATTATTATTATTATTATTTTTCTCCCCACGATTTTCGAGAGTCGCGGATTTTGTGTCAGTGTTTTGTTGTGCAAATTATAACATATTTTGTTGTTGTTGTTTTTTTTTTTTTTCGAAGTTCAAGTGTGTTTGTGTTTTGGTGTTTTCGAATTCTAAATTCGACAAGGCCTTTAATAAAAATAAAACGCGTAAATATATACAAAGGGGGGAAAAAGAAAGAAATAAAGAAAGAATTTAAAACAGTTTGTGTTAAGTTAATTAATTTAAAGAAGTGTAAATTGTGCTCGTTTGTTTCCCTTTTTTTTTTAAAAAAAAAAAAAAAATTTACTTACGGTTTGATTTGTTCTATTTATTATTATTATTATTATTATTAATATTATTAATTAATTAATTAAATTTTGACGAAGATATTAAAAAAATTGAACGAACAAACAAACGAAACTAATAATATATACGAAAAATTTACTCTTATGCTAACAAACAAACAAACGAAATATATGATACGAGGATGTATATTTGTTTATTAAATTAATTTAATTAAATATTTATTGTTTGTTTTTGTTTTTTGTCGATTGTAGTATACAACCAGGTTGACCTTACATTAAAATTCAACAAGTATTCAAACGTGTGTGTTTGTACAAACGATGACGCTTAGAAAAAAACGTTTTTTATGTTTTTTCCTCCTTTTTTTTTCTCTCTCTCTTCCCTATCCTCATTTCCCTATCTCTCTCTCTCTCTCTTTTTATATAATTCTTAGTTTAACCGAATTATTAACTCCTTGAGACATATTAATAAAAAAAATAAAAATTAAATATCGTAATAAAAATTCTAACCTTTTTTTTTTTTTTTTTTTGCTTTACGACGAAAATTCCTACAGGATACACACACTTTAAAATAATGATAATAATAATAATTTTTTTGTACTTTTTCACTACTTTAACTACATATTAAAACAACTATTAAATTTTCACCGACCTTTTTATTCACTCTATCGATTTACGGTTATAGAAAACCTTTTTAAATTATTATTACGTTATCAGTGCACGGTTGTTATTATATTAACAATAAAATTATTATTATTATTATTTTTTTTTTTTTTTTATAATCTTTTGTTTAAACATTTGATTATCGTTTAATAATAAATAAATAAATAAATACAAAAAAATTAATTATTTTTTACAGATAAATTTTTAAATTTTGAATTCGTAAAAAATAAAAAAAAATGTAAAAATAAGAGAAAATTTTAATTTTTTTCATATTTTTTTAAGAAATTCGAGGCTTAATAAAAAACGGGAAAATTTGTGGAAAATTTGACCGTGGAAACGATGACTGAAAATCCGAGTGATTTAATTAATAAAAGATGAGCGTGGAATTAATTGATAAAGAAGTATCAACGGATGATCTCGATGTTGAAAATGTCATCGCCGCCGAAGAAAAAGAAAATCAAGATGAAATGCATTCAAAAGAAAAAGAAAAAAAAGAAAATTCCGGTACGGATTTACAAAAATTGGAAGGGGTTTTATCAGTTTTGGTTGAAAATAAAGTTTCATCGATAAGAAATTGTGGGAAAAAATATAAAGAAAAAAAATTATTTATATTCAACAAGTTTAAAAATAAATTCGATCAAGTCGATACGAATGCAACAATCAATTGTCAAAGTGATAATAAAATTCGTCAATTTAGGACTAATTCATCGGCAAATTTAATTTCCCCGTGTAACAGGTACGGTTGCCGTGCGAACAGATGTAGATCACTCGTACCTTGCGACGTGTCGACCGATTATTGCAAACATCACGGTTTCGCGAAATACTCTCACAATTCTACGAGCACACCCAACGACCTTTATCCTCAACAACAATCTTTCGGAAGCTACGACGCATCTTTATACTATCAACCACCCGAGAGTCCCTGTTGCGGACTGAGTTCCCATTTCGAACCGAGATTAGATAGGAAAAAACTTTCCCAACAAAAATGTCTTCCAAAACAATTGAGCACGGAACGATGGTTGAATTCGACGACGTCTAGGCAAACATCTACGGAAACGGCGACAACATCTTCCGGTTACATATCCCCAACTTTCGGCGGTGACAACAGGAAACATCGATCGAAACACGTCGATGAGGACGTTCAAAGAATACAAGATTCGACGGAAGGTACGAGCAACGGTGATAGCGAGACAATAATCGACATGTCTAAAATTCAAGCTCAAAAAACGTTAGACGCGATACAAGAAACGATCGATGATAATAATAAAACCTTAACGGATCCGAGAACGACAACAAACGAATTAGTAGATGAGTTTAGTGCAAATAATTCAAATGTAAAACCCGTCAGGATAAAATGCAATAGATCGTGTCACGTTTTTTTACCGCAGTGTCTCTCGACGACATGCCTTCCCTCGTGCAGGTTTTCAATGGTCGATGATCAGGGATGTTACAACGATGCTCCCTACAGGCATTTACATCCCAGCGGGGGTCATTACATGTCTTGTTACAACAGTCCGACTCATTCATTTCAGTAAGTTATTCATAATACGACCTCGTTCGTCAAATTTTTTTCTTTTTTTTTTTTTACATACAATAAAAAAAACCGTTCAGACCACCACGTGATTTACCGGAAGTAGTCTATTTAGATAACGCAATTTAAATTAAAATTTTTTTATTGATAAAAATAAAATTATCAAAAATCATTAGTCGAGATCAAAGTATTGTGTAACGTTATTGAAATTTAACCTGATAAAATCGAAATTTCGCATAGTTTAGATAAACGTCTGAAATTTTTTTTTTTTTTTTTTTTATTAAAATCCCCATTTTCTTTTTTTCCTAAAATGAAATCCCGCGGAAATATCATCATCATTTTGCATTTTTAAAAGAAAATAATTAACTAATTATTATTCGCTATGAAATAATAATAATAATAATAATAATACGTTCAACTTTTTTTGATATGAAATAGTTGTTAACCTTTCGTGTAAATGATGACATGACCTCCACGTGGAGGATTTAGGCTAAACATAATAATTAAAATCTTTAAGGTAAAATGACATTACTTTCCCCTTTGGTACGAACGCATAAACCTATCAACTTAAAATATTTTCATTTTTATTTTTCCTTCAAATTACTTAAAACAAAAAAAAAAAAAAAAAATTCAGTTTTCCATTTCCGTTTCCCTTTCCATTTCCCTTTTTATTCAAATAAAATAAAAATGGCGCTGATAAATGATTTATTATGGTAATAATAATGATAAATCCCGCACTCAATTAATTATTATTATTATTATTATTATTACGGGAAATCATTTGTGCATGCGACAATAAAATAAAAAAACGATTTTTATTTATTTATTTACGATAAAACTCGTGAGTTGAAATGAGCGGAAATGCATATAATAATTTTTTTTTTTTTACGCGGAATAATAATAAAAATTGAAAAATAACAAATCACGATGACCTTCTGCCGAGTTTTCCGAGAGGGGAGGGAAATTTCTCGAACAATTTTTCGTATCCCGTTCATATTAAAACAAATTATTTCCGGTATATTTTCTAGTACGCGAACGAACGAACGAACCATTTTCTTTTTTTTTTAACAAATAAAATTAATAAGACATACATCTATTTATTTATTTATTAAATTTACATAAATAAATAAACGAATCGCCCGTTTTTCCCCGTTTCCGTTTCCGTTATTTGAAAATATGCATCTTTTATTTATTTAAGTGAACTTAATGTGTACACAAGTATCATTTTAAAAAATTTTAACTTTCGAAAAGAAGAAAATTTTTCAAATCTACAAATTTATTATTAAATTTCATCTGTCGGTGATAATAATTTGAAGATAAAGTGTTATTATTATTATTCCCGATAAAGGACTCTCGGTTTGGGCCCTTTAAAAATTTCCCCCATTTGTTACACACACACACAAAAATAAATAATAATAATAATAATAATAAATGGAAGTGACGTTGCGTTAAATTTATTTCCTTTTATAATTTTACAAAATCTTTTCTCTCTCTTTTTTTTTTTTGGTGAAGAATTAGTCTGACTCTAACGTGTAAAAAAAATAAATGATAATAATAATAATAATGAAAGCTAACTCAAACGTTTTCGAATGTCTCATTTAAACACTAATTTAATTAACAGGTTAATTGTTTAACAAATGGAAAGGGGGGGGGGGAAGAAAAAGATGGAGGAAGATGATTGAAAAATACGAGATGAAAAACGATCTTGTTATATATATAAAAAAAAAAAGTAAACCATCGAAATAAATCGTTTTTTTCGAGAGAGAGAGAGAGAGAGAGAGAGAGAGAGAGTGAGGAGAGAAAGAGAGAGAGAGAAAGAAAGAGAAATTTCAAATTTTTTAAATTCTTTTCCGTTCGAAAACAAATTTAAAAATAATTTTTTTTTTTTTTCAAAACGAACCAAACTGGAAGTTAACTTACAATTTTTTTTTTTTTTTAAAAAATCGTCTGCTAATTTTTAAAAATATCGTCTGCTTTTTTAGATAATATTAATAATATCAACTATTATTCTTTTGAAATGAAATTTTCTCCGTCATCGTCTTAAAAAAAAAAAAAAAAATTAAATGAATCCAACAACAAAAACAAAACAAAAGCGCGTTTAAAATAATGAAATTTTTTTTTAGAAGCAGACGACAATTTAAAAGTAAACAAAAAAGAAAAATTTGAATTTAAACATGTCTCACTCAACCTGTCAGATTTTTTTGTACGCATATAAACAAAGAGAAAAAACCAACAGAAAAATAATAAATGAAAACAAAATTTTTAAAAAATTATTGTCGGGTAAAACCTCGCATGGAACGAAAAAAAACTTCGTTATTATTATTATTATTTTCAACTGATAACGAACGCGTTCGGAAATCCGTTGACCTTTTTTTTTTTTTCCTTATCACCAAAATAAATTTTTTTTAGTTTTAAATCGAGAGATCATATCGTTTAAAACCCGATCTTGAAATTATTTTAAATAATTTTTTTCGTTTTTGTTTTCCCTTGAATTTTTTCTTTAATAACAAAACAGATTTTTAATTTAAAGAAATGTTTCGGTGACACACCCCCTTACATCCCTCCCTCTCCTCTCCCCTCCCCCCGTAGAAAAAAATTACGTTTACGAGGATTTTTTAATTTTCCTTTTTCATTATGTAAAATTTTCCTTTTTTTAATTTCATACTTTGAGAATTAAACGCGAGTAATTAAAAACAAAGATTAAATATAATTATCGAAATCGAAACGAAAAACCGAATGATAATAATAATAATAATAATAATAATAATAATAGTAATAGTAATAATTATGAAACTGATATATAAAAAATTTTTTTATTTTTTTCATAATCCGTACTCGAATCTGACATTTTTTTTTTTTTTTTTTTTTCAAAAGAAAATTTTAAAGAAATGAAATAATTATCATTATTACTATTATTATTATTATTATTTTTTTTTTTTTTACAAATGATTTTATTAGTGTAGAAGAAAATGAGACGATAGGAAACAACAAATTTTTTTTTTTTTTTAAAGAGAAAATAAATTTAGAAAAGTTTCAAAGTTGAAAACCTAATCGCGCAGACTTAAAAATTCAAAAGATTCTGAAGAAAAAAGAAAATTATTCGGTATTGATAATAATAATAATAATAGAAATAAAATAAGTCCTTCTTCTTCTTCTTCTTTCTTCTTCTTTTTCTTCATCATCTTCTCCTCTTTTTTCTCATTTCTTTTTCATCTTGGATGAAGTACACACACAAGAAAGGAAAATAAAATAAAAAAGATGAGAGAAAACTTTTCCGGAATTAAAAAAAAAAAAAAAAAAAAAAAAATTTTCTTTTTTCTTACGTTCAAGCAAAAACTCAAAAATTAATCATAAAAATAAAATAAAATAAGAAAAAAAGGAAAAAAGGAAAAAAGGAAGAAAAGTTATTTTATAATCATTTTCAACTCCGTATAAAATTTACAAAGTTTTCCTTTTTCTTTTTTTTTATTATTTCATTATAAAAAATTTTCTTTTTTTTTTTTTTTTTTTTTTTCCTTACGCTAAACTTATAAAATTTACGAGTGACGCCTTGATTTTCTTATTTTATTTAAATTTAATACCGAGGTACGAAGCGAGGGGGGGGATGGGGGGTTGGGTGGGAAATTTTAATTTCCGAATTGAATTCCATGCAAATTTTACCTTGTAATAAAAATTAATGAAACTCATTTTTTTCCTTTTTCTCGAAAATCGTAACAGAAAAAAAACAATTAAAAATCGAAAGGCAAATTATGGGGGACCGTTTCCCTCCTCCCTCCCCCTACCCCCCAACCTCCTTACGATTTCAAAATAACTTTTCCTAACGTTTAAATAAATAAATATAAATAAAAAAACGTTATTCGATGTCTTTCAAAAAAAAAAACCTTCGGGCTTTTTGTCCTTTTTTTTTTTACTAAAAGCCCCTTTACGCAATAATTACTGTCGGAATAATAATAATAATAATAATAATAATAATAATAATAATAATAATAATAATAATAATAATAATAATAATAATAATAATATTTTTTTTAATAAACGCATTCGACAAATTTCTATCGCGTTTAATTTTTTTTTTTTTTTTTTTTTTTTCGAAAATTACATTTTTAAACTTTCCACAACTTTTTTCCCTCGACCGTTTATTATTATTATTATTGTTTTTTTTAATGTCTCTCGTAAAGTTTTAAATAATTTTTTAACGGTTTTGCGAATTTGTAATAAAAAAAATTATTTTCGAAATGGCGGGGGGGGGGGGGGCTGGCTTTTTGATTACTCTCGTTCTACGGCGAGTTAAAGTCAAACGAACGCTTGAGATCAGTCGAATTTTTTTTTCTTTTTTTTAATTAAAAAAAATTTGTTGTTGTTATTATTATTATTATTATTATTATTATTATTATAATTATTATTATTGTTTTTCCGAGTTAATCATCTAAAGAAAATTAAAATTCATGATTTTTTCCTCGAGTCGAGTCAAAAAAAAAAAACGATTCCTCATTAATCTAATGAATCTTACTTTCCATCTCTCTCTCTCTCTTTTTACCGTATCCCTTCTCTCTCTCTCTCTTTGTTTTTTAATTATTAACAATTTTCCTTTGAGCGTTTTCGAGTTCCCTATGAAACCAATTAAAAATCAAAAAATGCCAACAAAAAAAAAAAGTTGCGCTCCGTTTTTTTTTTTTTTAAATAGAATTTTTAATAAATAATTTGTCGTATCGTTCGTAACGGGATTTTAATAATTTTTGAGATTAATTAAAATAAAAAAATACGCACACACACATTCATCCAAGATTATTATTATTATTATTATTTTTGTCTTGACCTCATATTAACTAATGGAAACAAGCAAATAAAAAAAAAAAAAACATGAGATTCATAATAATAATAACGAGAAACGAGGTAAAAGTTGAAAGTTTCAAGTATTAAAACAATAAAAAAAACGATTTAAAATCCTTTAATTATTATTATTATTATTATTATTATTATTATTATTATTATTAATATTATTACTATACTATTATTATTTAATATATATTATATTATAATTTTCGAATTTAACTCTATTAAACCTTACGAGAAAAAACTCATAAAATAAATGTTTAAAAATGACCTCGAATCCTCGATTTAAAAAAAAACAAAAGGCAAAAGTTTAAAAACAAAAAACCGTTAAATTTTAAATAATAATAATAATAATAATAATAATAATAATAATAATAAAAAGGAAAGAAAAAAATTTAATAAAAAAAAAAAAAACAAAAAGTTCACTTTTGAATATTTTTTTTTTCGTTTTCCAGTTTTTCTCCGGCCTTTTAAAAGCTATCGGTTAAATTACTTATTTAAAAAAAACATTTTGAAACATAATATTATGCTTACTCTCTCTCTTACTCTCACACTCTCCCACTCTCTCTCTCTCACTCTCTCCCTCTCTCTGTCTCTCTCTCTCTTTTTTTTCTTTTTTTTGTTAAGCATCCCTTGTTTGCACTTCACTTATTTTTTTGAGTGCTACAAAAGATTTCCTTTTTAATTTTTTTTTTTTTTTTAAAACTTGTTGCTGGATTTTTATAAAATGTTAATTTTTTGAATATTACAAAATTATTAACCCGTTTGTTGCCGTGATATTTAAAAACGGAAAATCCCGGAAAAACTGGAAAATTGGGAATAATAAACTTAAACTATAAAAGGAAAAATTCTTTGTGGAAAATATTTTTTAATCGATTTATAATATAATCCCAGATTTTAACCTGTCACTCATCTGTCAACCCGGAGTAATACCGAATACCGAATTAAATTTAAATATTAAATTCCCCCCCCCCTCCTTTTTTTTCTATTCTCTTTCATTTATTATTATTATTATTTCTTTTCTTTTTCAGAAGATGCAAATACGATGAAAATTATTTAACATTAGCCATGAACTTAGAAGATTTAGAATTCGAAAGAGAAGAAGAAAGGCGTAAAAGGAAAAAAAGAAGAAAAAAAAGGAGAAAAGAAAGACAAATACGAGCGAGAGGTCTAATGGCGGACGAATTGAAAAATGCTAAAAAAGCATCAAAAGTTTTAGATCCGGAAGATTTACCCAAAAGAGCCAGGTGGACCATTGTTGCAACCGCTTGCTTACTTTTACTCATGAGCATGTTATTAGTCGGTATAACATTAAGAATGGCTCCCATCATCGACGAAATGGGTAAGTGGGTGTGTGTGTGTGGGTGTGTGCGCGTTGCTATGCTCGACAAAAACATCGAGAAACTTCCATAAAAGCCGAGTTATCAAAAAAATTAAACCACCGCCTTATCGAACTTTTTCATTTAAATGACAATCGTATCAACATTTTCACCCCCTTTTTTATACGGCGTTGCCAAGTTTATTTACTATTTATATTTTAAAGAGATAATTAACGAAATATCGTTCGCGACGTTCACGAATGCAATTATCAAACGTTAAAACAATAATAATTCGATAAAAATCATCATAATTAATTACGTAAAACACATTTTAATTTGTTAAATTGTGCATGCATGGCGTGCATATTTGCATAGAAATTACGGTCGATTATCACCTAAATTAAATGCAAAAAATCCATCGAATGAAAACAACAACGACAAACACGAACGACAACAACAACAACAACACGAATTCTCAAATAAATCAATTTAATTGCATTAAAATTATTTTGTCGAAAATGGGGAAAATTTAACACGCTCACACGAGTCGACCGTAAAAAAAAAATTAATCGGAATGTTTTTCGTGTTAAAAAAAAAATCCAATAGATTTCCCCCCATTACGTAATAATATTAATAATAATTAAAACGTCATTAAAAAAAAAAAAAATTTAGTAAAGTAGTAAAAAAAAGAAAACAAAAGTCAAAAAATCACAATCAGGTATTTTGCGCATGCAACAGCTCTTATTGATTTACCTGGCATGGGATTTTTTTTTTAAAAAAAAAAAAGGATTCTCCATCTTTTTTTAACGCGTTATTTTTTTTTACATTCGGTTATATGTATCTTTATTTATCTCATTACGCACGTCGTGGTTGTTTTTCGAAAAAAAAAAAAAAATTATTACTTAATTTATAATTTTTCGCGTGTAATTTATTTCGTTAAAAAAAAAATTTCTCATTGAAATTTAAATTTTCCCACGAAAAATAACGATTTTTATTTTTTTTACCCCTTACCTTTTACTACTTCCCCCCCCCCCCCGAAAAGTTCAACCCCGAAATTTTACTTTTGCAAAAATATATAAACCTTATTTGCATTTCAAAAAAAAAAAAAAAAAAATCCATTTTACATTTTTTGTAAAAAAAAAAAAAAAACCATAAATAAATTTACGATAGAACATTATTATTATTATTATTTTAAAAATGACATTTACCTTATTCGATTTGATGACGACGACGACGATCACCACAATTTTCAATTTCTTCTCCAGTCAAACGAGTTTTCCTATTTTTCCGCTTTTCCTTCCTTTTTTTCTTCAATCGAAATTTTTCCTATTTTTTTTTTTTTTTCGTTTTCAAAATACTATTTTACGCGAGAAAATTAATATCTACGTACGTATATGTATATATATATATATATTTTTTAATAAAAAATTATTAATCGCCATTTTTCCGGGCGTTTGAAAAATAAATTTTCCCCCCCCCAAAAAAAAAAAAAAGAAAATACGAATCAACGCGGTATCACGATAACCGGTTACGTAACGACGTTAAAACTTTTAGCCTCATTCTAATATACTGAAAATAAAAGAAAAACACGAAATTAATTAATTAATTAAATTATTTATAATTTAATACTGAAAACTATTATTATTATTATTATTATTATTATTATTATTATTATTATTATTATTATTATGTACTTTAAATACTACATCGTGATATGAAAACCGAATCGTTTTGTAAAATTTTTTTTTCAAAAATCGATCCATCGATTACTTTAATTACCCAATTCATTCATTCATTCATTCATTTATTAATTCATTCACTCATTCATTCATTCATTTATTAATTCACTCACTCATTCATTCATTTATTCATTCTATTTGCGGAAAAAATGTTACAAACTAATTATTAATAATTAAAGTACATAACTATAATCCATACGCACGTGGTTGCGATTATGGCTTTTAAAAAAAATAGTAATAATAATAATGATCAGATTAATAAAAGCGATTATTAGGAAACGAAAAATAATAATAATAATAATAGAAAATTTTCCAGAAAAACAAAGAAAATAATAATAATAATGAAAAACGACGAAATCTATTTTTTTTTATTAATAATAATAATTAATTCTTTGAAATGTTTTTTTTCTTTTCTTTTCTTTTTTTTCCAGTAAACTTATTAACTCCGAAAAACAATTTTCTTATTTTACGTAATTAAAAAATTTTTTAATTAAAAAATAAAACTCGGGATAAAAGAAAAAAAAGAAAAATTTTTTTTAGTTTTTAGTTTTTCCTGAGATTTTTTTTTTTTTTTAATTTCGTATTAACGACGACGAGAAATTCTTTTGAATTTTTTTTTAATTTTTTTTTAAACTAATTTTTATTATAAACGAACGAAAACAAATAATAATTATAATAAAAGGAAAATAAAAAAAAAAAAAAAAAAAAAATTTAGTTTGAAATAAAAGGCATAAATCATTATTATTATTATTATTATTATTTTCTATTTGAATTAAATTTTATTTCTTTGTTTTTTTTTTATTTTATTTTCTTTTGAGTTTTTTTGTTGAACTTTTTTTTTTGGATTAAGGCCAGTTAAATAAAATTGGCATAAAAATCAACTCGAATATACGAACGTTAATTTTTTTTTTACCATAATAAAAACAAAAAAAAAGTTTTTTTGTTTTTCACGAGTCATAAAAACGTAAATAATTACTTTTTTCCTTTGTGAAAAACTAAATAAAAAAACCCTGGGAAATGAATTATTGAAACATTATTCCAACCGGAAAAATTGATTTAAAAACGATGAAAAAAAACTTTTTAAAAAAAAAATTAATGTTGTTGCTTAATTAGACACAAAAATTAAAAAAAAAAAAAAAATTTTCTTTTTTTTTATCATCGTGCTTAATTTATTTTTCATTTTCCTTTTGCCATCTTATTATTGTTATTATTATTTTTCGTTTGTTTTATTCTTTCCACATCATTCTGAATGGAATTTTTTTTTTGTTTTTTCATTCGTACATCATAAAAAAGGACGAATTCATCAAATTTTCTATTTTTTTCCACATGTTTCTATCTATTTCAAGCTTCTGTGAACGAATTTTTAAAAATTCCTTTTTTTTGTCGCAAAGGAAAACAAGACGACGTGACACGACACGTTCATGATAAACGTCAATCAAAACAACCCGAAATTTCCCCCCTTCCCCCCAACCGTGATTCCATTCAAATTTTCTTTTTTAGAATTTCGGGCTTAACCTTAAGAACCTTTTTAAGGTTTTTCTTAGTATTGATAATCGACAAAAATTTCAAATTACATAAATATTTAATTACAACCGAATTAAAAATTTTCCTAACCTTAACACCAATCGCGTTAACGACGGATTTTTTCGTTATCAAAAATTATAAGAAAATATTTCGGGAATTTAGATTTTAATGTTTTTTTTAGTCTTCTTACGATTAATAAATTAATCTTAGATCGATGAGCGGATTCGATTTTTTTTCGTTAATAACAAACAAAAAGTTTACTCGTAATTATTATTATTATTATTATTATTATTATTATTATTATTATTATTATTATTATTATTATTATTATTATTATTGTAATTTTCATATTAAAATTCTCGTGAAAATTTAAAAAAAAAACAAATATGGCCTTTAATTTTTCCTAAACCGTTTTTTTAAATTAATAAAAATGAGTAAAAAAAAAAAAAAACTTTTTTAATAAAATACATTAAAACAAACAATTATTTATTAAATTTTTATATTATCTTCTTCCAAAAATATATACGAATTTTTATATCCGACGTTAATAATAATAATAATAATTCATGCAAATGAAAATTTAATAATAATAATAATAAGAGGAAGAACGATAACAATAAATATTTCCGTGATGAATTTCAACCTGTCATTCTGTCATTTCGATCGGATTTCACGTTAATAAAAATAATAAATAAATAAATAAAAATTTTCTCGTGATTTTCCATCTACGTGAATTTTTATAATTTTATATATATTCGTATATTATAAAAACGCGCAAAAAAAAAGATAATAATAATAAAAGGAAAAAAAAAAAAAAAAAAAAACGGGAAAAGGAAAAAGGGAAAAGTATCTGTTACGTTTTCGTCGAAAATTTATTCGTCGGGTTAAAAAATTATCAAAAAAAAAAAAAAAAAAAAATCCCCAAATAAATCAAATAAAAAATTGGCCGAAATTCAGAATTCGAAAAATAATGATAATGATAATAATAATAATAATAATAATAATAATTTAAATCGTACATGGAGACACGAATACGCCAAAACAAAAACAAAATAGGAACGATCCAGATTAATTAATTATTAAAAATTAGAAAAGGGAAAATAAAGGAAACAACAAATGCGTATATAAAATTATTATTATTATTATTAGTATTATTATTATTACATGATTTATATATTCTCTCTGTGTAGAAAAAATGCATAAAACTTTTCATGTAATCGAAACAAAAAACGACTTTTTGTGATTTACGTTGTTTTCTATTTTGTTTTTATTTTGTTTTGACGAGTAGTTACGTAACACAAACAAACAAACCTTTTTTTTTAAGGTTTATTATCGTTTCGAAAAAAAATATCGAAGAATTTTATCCATCGTTTCCGGTCGTCAAAAAAAATCACAACCCCAAAAAATTATTATTATTATTTTTTACGTATCCGAAAAATTAATAAAAAAAATTTTTTTAACAACGAACGAGTTTGGTATAAACTTTTTTTTTCCGATAATAAAAAAAAAAAAAATTATATATAAATAAAATAAAACGGAAATTGTGGTTGTTGTTGTTGTTGTTGTTGCCAGGATTTATATTTTGTCGAAACAAACAGTCGTAAATCCGATTTGAAGTTTTTTTTTTTTTTGACTCCTGACTGAAAATAAATCTTCGCATTATTAACTCAAAGAAATGTTTTTTGCAAAAATTTATGAATTTTTTTTGTTTGTTTGTTTTGAGTTTTAGAAAACACAAAAATTTTAATAAAACTAAATAAGGTAATGGAAAATGTTTTCGAAACTAACTTTTCCAGTAAAATTTAACTCGGGGGGGGGGAAGGAGGTTGGGGAGGCTTTTTATACTACAAATAGTGAATCCGATTAGTGATTTTTTTTTTTTTTTGTTTGCTTTATATCAAAGTGAAATAAGGTTCGAGCCTTTTGATTTGTAAATAATAATAATAATTTTTTTTATTTTCAAGTTCGAAAAGAAAATGAAGAAATGTTACATTCACTCAGTCGTCAAGGTACAATCAAAGAATCATCCAATGCAACAAATATTCAAAAACA